CATTTCTCCGACAGCCTTGGATTCGGGTCCCTGGTCTGTAGTCCGAGGTTATACCCGAACTTTACGTCGTATTAAGTTATCGTCCTCGATTTCCCCGTGGCACCCAGATCCCATATCCATTCTTTTGGGTCGAATTCCAGCTCCTTGATGTTGAGTTCGGCTGGAAGATAATCCAGGGTTTCCTGTGAGATACTCTGACCTTCCTAAGGAGGTAGGTTTCTACTTGTTCATTCTGTGGTGTTTTATTTAGGACATCTAATTCGTAAGTGTTGTGTTTGATGATGGGGTAGGATATGAACTTGGCCTGGTAGTTGGTTGGGTCCGGTTTGGCCACAAAACGGTAGGCTCTTGTTGGTGGGGTATGTGTGATGAGTAGTCCCCAATCTTCTTGTTTCAACGTGCGTGCCTCTTTTAGGAGGGTCGTCCATGGGGAAGGAATGCTTTGAAGGATTTCTGACATGTTGGTGGTCAATAGGTGGCAACCTTTTAATGATGTGAGGAGGTCCTGTTCAGTTAGCCATTCTTTTCGGTCTTCGGACCACAGATGTTTGACCTGCGATATTCCTCTCTCCGCCCAAGACAACCATCTGCGGTCGTGGGCCGGAGGGTCCAAGGTCTGCCCTCGAAGTCTTTAATCTATGGATTGCAAAACAGGGGTTGTCTTAGGACTTCCTCTTTGTTGCTCGGAGACCCTTTATTTTTTGACATCAGTCGACGTCAGGCTTTCAAGACCGGTGACCAGCAGGAGATGGGTTAGGTTTGGGGCTGATTGGGGGTCGCGGGGTTAGTTCTCCTTGCAGGTCTCCCCAATTTGATCGCCCATTCCTTAGTCATGATCCAGAACAGGCCACTCATGTTCGGTGGGGACACTGTCGGTGGCAGATTCCTTATGTTGTCGACTGCATCTTGGTCTACGGGAGGGCTTGTTTGGTTAGAATTTTGATTATCCATTTCATTTGGAGGGTGATCGCTTCTTGTTTAGGGTCAATTATGCCTAGCCCTCCGTGTGGTTTCCTAATGACAATTTGTCAGGTGACCTTGTTTATGCAGTTGGTTCTTCTGGGGTTGTCGGTCCACAGGTAACATCTGGATTTAGCCTTCAGCTTCTTCAAATCGTCGTCGGGAGGGAACCATATGGAGGCCATGAATACTGTTGTGTTGATGATCAGGGCTCTTCCCCATAGGGAGGCTTGAGCTTTGTTGCAGGTGGCTCTACGGGTTATTGCTCTGGCGATTAGAGTCTCCCCCGTACCTTGCCAGATGTCATCTCTGTTTACCATGATGCCCAGGTATTAGAGTGATTGGTCTCCTGTGGGCCAGGACATTGGGTGTTTGGGTCTGGAGATTGTGGGGGGATTGCTTCTGCAAGTCACCACCCTTCTGTTTTTGACCAGCTTACCTTCATTTCTGAGGCGAGTCTGAAGGCTTCCATGGCGCAGGCCAGGGCATGAAAGGGGGAATTATTAGCGCGAATGAGGACCGTGAGATCGTTTGCAAACACTTTTGCGATGGGGAGAGCAAAATCGGGGAGGGGGTTGTGGTTTTGTTCAGCCAAGTTGTCTATGGACGGGTCCTTGCAAAGGAACAATGCAATAGCTTCCATTATGAACAGGAATATTGAGGGTGCAAGGGGGTCGCCTTGACGGACCGATCTAGATATCGGGTAAGTTTCTAATAGTATTTTGTTTATCTGCACCCTGCCTTTGACATCCCCATAGAGCACTCTTACCCACTCTCTGAAGTTTGGGCCAACTCCCATCCTTTCCATGCAGTTGTGGAGGAAGTTCTAGTTGACTTGATCGTAGGCCTTTTTAAAATTGAAGAATAGGATCGCTGCTTGCATTTGTTTTTCTGTAATCCTCTTTGCAACCTTGTTTAGAGCCATCACATTATCCAACATATAGCTCAGTTGGTAAGGCACGCAAGTGGCATTCAGGAGGTCTTGGGTTCAATCCCCATTGGCCTCATGCACCTTCCTGGGCAAGCTTGGTGCCCGCCACCTAGAGATATGTCGTTGGTCCCCCCGAGTGGCATTGAGTAGAGACTGTTGTTGTTCATAGGGGGAGGGGACCGAAGGGGAGACACAGTGACTGACCCATCGAAGAAGCTCGGTCCTGATGCTACCGGCTGACCGTTGGCCGGTATCGCCCACCCGCTGTAGCAGGTATCGCACCTGCTGGTGGGTGCAGCTCCCGCATGTTCCCTCGTTGGAGGCTTAAACATGGATGTGGCTGCTACGAGGTTCCCCATAATGCTATAATGACAATAAAAAAGGCCTGAAAGGCCGTCCTGTCCAGATTCGACAGGTAATTGAATTGGTTGGGCTTAAAGAATTAGCCTTTAATATATATATATATCGTCACAAACAGATATATATATATATATATATATATATCGACCGAGAATGAATCCTGCTTGGTCGATATGGAAACACTTGTCTGTTCGTTTTATAATTATGTTAGCTAATGTTTTTGCTAGGATTTTGTATGGCGTTGTCAGAAGTGAGATTGGTCTGTAGTTTTTAAGGTCCTCCTTGTCGCCCTTTTTGTAGATTAGCGAGACTACATTGATGGTCGTGCCACTCTATAACCTAGCAGTTGGGGGCATGAGGCCTGGTTGAGGTTGGGCATCAGGGTATAGGGGTAAGGCAGGTAGGTTTGGGCTGTTGAAAGAGCCTAAGGCATGTGTTTTTTCGTTCTGAATGCTCCTTTGATCCGAGCTTTGAGAGAGAGAGAATTTTAGTGTTCTTGTGTAGATTCCATGGTTGTCTCTCTTAAGCAGAAGCCGGGTAATGGCCCTGGTATCTCAAAGATTTCTTCAAAAAAAAAAAAAGTATGGGTGGTTCTGAGAATGTTTTAGGATTCTGGGGACTTCTAGCAACTCGCTTTAGGCTGTTTGATACTGGTACATTCATGGATCTGCGGTTGTTCCATGCTAGAACGACGTTGGTCGGTGCTGGGGTGTTGCCCTGTAACCTGCTGATTGCAGGAGCGTGAGGCCTAGTAGAGAGATCTGGGGATGCTTTGGGGTGGGCATTCCAAGGGACAACCAAGGGTTGCTGTTGGGACGACGCTGGCCGGAGCTGGGGCGAGTCGTGTTGCTCTGTAACCTAGTCGGGTGGGGGTGTGAGGCCTAGGAGAGCTCGACAGGGAATAAGACTGTTGGAAAGTTTTAGAGAGTTTTGTTTGGGAGTCTACGGGTTCTGAGCATTCGGAAAGAGGTCAGTAGTCATTCATAGTTTCTCAACCTCTGCTTTAATTCTCTTGAATTTCTTCAATAGTTCTCAGATTGGTTCTCAACGGAAGCCGGGTAATGGCCCCGGTATCTCAAATGACTTGTGTAACTCTATATGGGACGCTGGGCCCGGTTCCCAGCATGTGCTGCTCCCCACGAATAGACAGGAGCATTTGTCCCCCCCCCCCCCAAAAAAAAAAAAAAAAAAAAAACATTGGTGCTTAGAACTTGACCCAGGCCTTTCTTTTTTCCTTGCTGTCGTTAATGAAATTCAGGAGGTCGTTGCCCAACGTGGGCCAAAACTGGACCCATAATTCTTTGGACAGGCCATTGATTCCTGATGCTTTGTCATTACCAATTTGGGACAAGGCTGCATGAAGTTCCCCTAGGGTGATTGGTTTGTCCAAGTCCTCCATTTGTTTCTGGGTGATCGTTCTCTCTAGGCAGGTCTCATGTGTTGGCGGGCGATGATGTTCGCTGATGGAGGGGGGGAGGGAGTTTTGGACTCGTAGAGGTCGGCTTAGAAGGATCTGGCTATTCTTACCATGTCTGTGTCGGTCGATGTTGTCTTCCCCTGGTCCACTAAGTCCTTTAGCCCCTCAATCATGTTGTTTCTTGCATTGGCCTTGATTTTGGAAAAGAAGAATTTGGACATGGATTCATTCAGGGTGCAGTCATTCATTCGGGCGCATATTTGTAAGCCTCTGAGTTCCCATCTTCTCCATTCATTTAATTCGTCCTTGGTAGATTGGAGTAGGTCTTGTTAGAAGGAGTTGGAAGGATCTGATGCGAGGTTGGTTTCTGCAATGTCGAGAGCGATTTGCAGTTCTTCCTTCCTGAGCTTGTGTTCTGCTTCTATGCTTCTAGACTCCACTGAGATTGTACGAGAGAAGTTAATTATTAAGTCTAAAAAAAACTTGACCTTTCTCTATCGGAGAGTTGAAGTTAAGCAGCAGGTGGGTTGGTTTGTGATCGAGCCCCTTGAAGGCTGCCGCTGCTAGGATATCTGCTTCCTTGATTGCTCCCTGCATCATGTCGAAAATTAGGAAGAAATCGATCCGTGATAGTGACGTGTGGTTAGATCAGTTCCTTTTGACTAGGGAGAAGGCTTCCTTACGTGGGTGGAGTCTTCGAAATGGGTCGACTAGATCGAACTCCGTCATGATGTTTTATAGGTGTGTGCTCTCTCGTGTGGGTCCCAACAACACTGCTCGGGAAACACGGTCCATACTGGGATTCATCGTGTGTTCCAGTCGCCTGCTACAATGAACGGTAGAGGGTTGGGGAAGAGTGCTTTGATGTGGTCGACGAAAGCTAGGCGTTCGGATTCCGTGTCGCTGGCGTATAGGTTCCGGATCCTAACCTCTTCCCCTTGCCATGTGATTTGGACCCACGACCATCTTCCTTCCGCTGTGTCACCTTCCCCGTTGCTTACCTGTTCTTCTGACCAGATTTTGGAAGTGGGTATGAGGGTCGGTGCACCGCGGTTGCATTGGTCCGCTTTGTTGGACCACAGTGTGAATGGGCACCCACCTAGGCTTTTCTCCACGGTCCTCTTGATTCTGTTGTGGTTAGTGAGGTTGGAAAGATGGGTCTCTTGTGGAAGAATGATGTCGGGTTTAGGCTTTCTTTTGTCCGTGAGGCCGAGTCCAATGTCTCGTACTTTGTCATCTTCAGTGAGAATGTTGCCCAGGCCGTTGACATTCCAGCTATGGATCGTCAGTCCTTTGGCTTGCCAGTCCACTCTCACTGTCCCAGACTGATGATCGTTGCAGTCCATTTGATTTCGACTGATGGGATGCTATATTCAGATTCTTACTTACTTTTGATCTGAATTTTACGATCAGTTTATAGTTTCTAATCTTCTGCTGCCCCTTTTTTTGCATTGTCTGCCCTAGTCCCTCCATTGTCTTCACTGTACCCCCCCGTGCTGCCCTCAGGCGCTGGGGTGGACCCCCGATCTTCGCTGTTCGGGGAGATTTTTCCATCCATGAGGGCATCGTCGTCGTCGTTTCCATCCATGAATCCCTCATCTTCGTCCTCAAGCTCTACGTATAACGCCTCTGCCTCGTCGTGCAGGGATTTCTCGGTAGCGAGAATGCGGGATCTGATGATAGATGCTAGGGACTCAGCCATTACCTCAGTCGGGCACATCTTGCTTGCAAGCGTGCTGTACGGCAGCGCGGTGACTGTGTTCCAGGCTCTCCATACCAGGCCCTCTCGCAGCTTCGCCTTTTCCTCCATTCTGATGAGGATTGGCTCGAATGGCTTGGTGGAATCTGGTTCCTGTCCAGGCTCAACTGGATCTTTTGTCGGCAGGAGTGGAATTCCAAAGAAGCCCAGTGAGTAGTCTTCGGAGATCTCTTCTCTGACAGTCCTTGCTAACATTCGCTTATCCCCTACGGTCAGGATAGCGAAAGAGACATCGGTGGCCACCTGCCACTTGCCAAATCTCCTCCTGTAGCGGATCGAGAGGTCTGGCCGCCTTGATGGTTCCGTGGTCCAAGGCAGCTTTTTTGGTGACGTGTGGGGCCTTGTTGTCTGCCACATTCTGGATTGTGCAAAATTCCTTTGTGTTTTTTTTTTTTTTGTATTCTGCATTCTGATCAAACAGGCACTTTGTTTGGGCTGCCACGATGGCAATCTCGTGTTTGATGGATCGTTGTTTGTTGGGTTTCCCTGTCTTGTCTGACCAGAGTCTCCTGGATCTTTTGTCTCTGCCCTTAGATGGTTTCCACTTCTTAGGGACCATGTCTCTTATTGGGTCCTTGTGGGTCTGATCCTCTGCATTGGCTTCGGATTCAGACCCGAAGGAATCTCTTTTCCTTTTCTTTTCATTGTATCGAAAGGCACTGAATTCTGACATCTCACTGTGTTGCCTTAAAATGGCATATGAGTTGGGGGTGGGGCTGATTCCTGCTACCGATGCACTGCTGTTCCGTCCTATCTTTTCCTGATGTTTCATGCAAACTACTCTGATGTCGAATTCTTTTTCCCTCTCATTCTTGGCCCTCTCAAGGTAGTCTTGCAACCAGGGTTTGCTTGTCCTGAAGTGGGTTGGATTGACACTTCTGTTTTGTGCTTGGACTGAATTTTGTTTTTTGTTTTGTTTTATTTTTTTTAATGTTTTTTTTATTATTATTATTTTAACAGATGACTACTGATCTCATTAGAGCTCTTCCCTAGTTTGTTTGTTGTTCGCGTTCTACTTCTTTTTACTTTTTCTTGGTGTTTGATTTTCTTGTTACGATCCTGGCCACTTTTGAAGTCCACAATCATCAGAAAGTACAATGTTGTCCAATTGCGAAAAGAAATGAATGAGCTTGAGCCCAATGCCGTCCAATTGCAAAAGAAATGAAAGAACTTGAGAGGAGAGAGAGGGAAAGAAGAAGAAGAAGAATTAAGAAAGAAGGAAGAGATGATGTACGCCAGCATAGACCAGAGACAAAGCTCTTCTTCTTCGCTCCACAACCTCCTCCTCTTTATGTCCTCCTCTCTTATTCAAACAATAAATAAACAATARTAATGTTGAACAGCTGAACCAGAATCAATGTCTGAATCCCACTTCTACTGCAGGCACAAGATGAGGTCCACCATAGCCATGGCAGCCCTTCTTCTTCCTCCACATACAGGCCGAGGCTATGGCGGACAATCGAGGCTTCAGCCTCCGGTACCAAAGACAACCCCAAGCAGCTATATCGCTGCCCCACTTCAAGGTCATCACCCAGCAGCTATGCCGCTGCCCACTCAACCGCCATGCCTGACTCTATCCGAGCTTCCTTGATACGACACTACCCCCACTGGGGCCTTCCTGATGCAGCGTCTAGCAAGGAGATGAAGATGGTGTCTACCATAGCCAGGTAAGTACCCTACCACTCTCCTCCTTGGTCCCCTTCTCCCTCCTCCTCCTACCGGCCGAGCTCCACCATAGCCAAGGTGGAAGCTCCCGGCTTCTTCCTCCCAGCAGCGCTGTAGTGCCCAGCGCTTCACCACCTAGCGCTCCAGCAGCGTGATGACCAACTCGCACACTGAAGAATGAGGCGGAGCTCTTGCCTCCGCCTCTAGATATAGCGGCCTGCTTGCCTCTTGGGCGGTGACTTCCAGGCCGCTCGGCCTCTCCAAGCAACCGGTACCTCCTTCGTTTCGGAGGGAAACATCATTGCAGACCCTGATATTACCCGTACAGGCTCTAGACTTAGACTGGTTGGACTGGTACCGGCCTAGACCTACCCTACCGCTACTGGACTCTAAAAATGCCAACTTTGTCTTTTTTTGATCGGCCTCCAGTACCCCTCACGTCAACTGCAGTGGGGTGCAGTATCGGCCTACCGGCCTACTTGAGTGTTTTTCCGCTACCCCAAGGGCCTCAGGGCCGCTAGCTTCGCCACTTGAGTGTTTTCCCTGCTACAACCCTCAATGCCACGGCCACAGGTAAGTACCGGCCCTACGGGCCTACCAAACCAGCAAGTACCCTTGCGGGTCCCACACACACTCGTACCGACAAGCACTCAGACAGGCATGCAGGTCACAAGCACGCACACACAGACAGACTTAGAAAACACAGCAGAATGCGGGAATCTCATCAAGGCATCCATTCCATCGGCAGAACTTCAAAAATCAGCAGTGTTCTCAGTCTGTGTTATGACGGGTCATTACACTACCCCCCCCTCAAGAGCGAGGTCCCTTCGAGCGAGTCACTCAATCAGAGTCCTTGCATAGTGCATCATAGGCGTAGATAGCAAAGAGAGATCGGGCGTGTTCCGTAGGAGTCAGGGTAGCAGTAAACTTTGGTTGCTGTTCAGCACTTATCAATCGTTCATAGGCATTAACGACACGCGGTGCACTCTGCAGTAAGTCTTTCCTAGCAATCCAATAGAAATCGTCCAATGGATGGTACAGAAAATGAACTGTGTACTGTCTGTTTCTTCCCTTCCCACTGTGTTCGACAATCCTATCAACCTCATGGCCGCCAGTGATTGCGCGGGGAATCATTGACTCTCGGTACTTGAACGTTTCAGGTGGTTCATATGGAAACAATTTTGACGCATGAAAAACTGGGTATGTGCGCAAATGTGCAGGCACATCAATCGTGTAGGAAGGATCGAAGGAATCACTCCCTACCTGTTTCAAGACCTGCCACGGACCGTAGTGCTGAGGAAGAAGCCTTCGTGAGACACCTTCTTCTTCAGAAAACTCATACATTTTGACCCAGACATAACTTCCCACTGTGAATGGTGCAGGCTGGCGCTTCTTGTTAGCATGTTTAATCATGGCACTGCGTCGCCTCTCCATAGCTGTGACAACAACTTTGAGTAGGCGATCGAACTTGGCGCTGTAGCCTGGTTGGCCAGGTGTTAGGCCAGGTGGATGATCATGAAACAGATAAGATAGAGGATTGCGGATTTTCCATCCAAGATGCAGCCGGTTAGGCGTCATTCCGGTGGAGGAGTGGATGGAGTTGTTGTACAACCCCTGCACAATCGGCAACTCCTCATCCCAAGAGTTCTGATCAGGTACAATTAGAGCCCTGAGAAGCTGGATCACGGTCTGGTTGATTTCCTCAGCCAGTCCATTGGCTTCGGGGTGTCGCCCAGACGTCATCTTGAGTTTCATGTCATAGGTCTGGGAGGTGAAATCTTTCCAGTCTGCGCTTATGAACCTGGTGTCCCGATCACTCACGAGAGTTTTCAGGGGGCCATAATGTAACACGTACCTTTTGTTAAACTCATCGATCACAAGGTCAGTTGGGGCGTGAGGTGGCAAGGGAATCAGATTTAGAAATTTCGAAAACCGATCAACGATCACCATCACTTGCGAATAACCGTTTCTGCTCTTCTTCCCCATGTCCGTGAAGTCGATGGAAACAGACTCACCCGGGCCATCAGGGATAGGAAGAGGGTGCAGCAGGCCATAGGGCTTCTGCCGAGACGGTTTAAT